TTCTCTGAACTCTAAGAAGATTTTCGCCATTTAGCTCATGCTGTTATCATTCATTCCTAGCTGGCCTGTCCCAGAGGCAAGCTGCTGACAGAAGCTGCTTGCTCTCTCCGAGCATCATGCCTCTGATCTGCAGCCTTCTTATCACTGCCTCTCGGAACCTCAGCGACAACTGAGGGCTTCGTTAATGTCCCTGTTCCCCCCAGGCAGACAGAAAAGCAGAGGGTCTGCTGCTCAAGAATGCACGTTGCATTTCATCCTTTTTCCCCAGTGCATAATTTTTTATTGGACTAAAAATTTACAAATTCATGATAGCACGTGTGTCTTGAGGGAAGCATAGCTAGCTATGGCTCCTTAAGACTGTTAACCTAACAATTATCCTGCGAGCTACAGTTGCAGAATCCATTTCTATTCACATATCTAATCTGTCATTTAATCATCTCATTCGCTCCATTAAGACTTGAGGTAATGAGTCCAGAAAATTATTTATAAGTGTTTTCTTACATTTGAATTTTGATGGATCCTTTATCCATCAGTGGTGCAATCAAATTGTTCCATTCTACAGAAGAAAAAATTTCAATCTTCTAAATGCAAACATAAGCAGCCACATTATTCCATTCTGCTTCTTAGTGGAAGCAATTTTCTTCAAGGATGTCCTAGTGACATTTTCTCTGACACCTAACAGTTCATAAGGGTGAGCTTTTTGTTTTGAGGGGTTTGGGTTTTTAACTGACTTGTGAGGACTGCAAAGTTCATTCAGTTCACGTAGACTGGGACAGCAACAGTTCACAATCAAAAGTTAATTTGCAGGACAGGAATTGCTATATAAATTTATATTTCTTTCAGCTTCATTCCCCTGAGGCAACAGCTTTAGTCACTACCACCAAATGCTTTCCTGGTGGAGCTGCACAAGATTATTTCCACCCGGCAACTACCAGGAGAAAATTAAAGAAAGACACACAAAAATGAATAATGTAAGAGTGCCCATCCCAGTAGCTCTTACTGAAAATAGGGACTGCCAAATCCTGATGCTTGCATTTAAAAAAAGACAATGAAAATTGAAGTATTATAGTTAAACTCTCCATTTAATGGGAAAAAAGCATACCTTTCCCAGAGAAACATAGCAGGATTTTCTGTTGTTTTACAAGCTCCATTTCACCTCTTTCTAAGGAAAGGAATTATTTTTTCAGCCAAATAGCCTTTCCCCTTCTCCACACCCTTTCCAAATGCATGGCCGAGTTTTCATGCTACTGGCCTCTCAGCAGCAGCACAGAACTCTTGCAGCCTCCTCAGCTATTTGGATCTTCTGCATAATTCAGGCAGTCCCCAAAACACAGTGTGCAGCAGCCCAACCCTGCCGCACCCCCTTGTGCTGGCATCTTCTCCTTCCCCGCTGCTTCCACCATGCCAAAGCTGGTGAGAATTGTCCAAGGTCATCCTGTGCCAAGGAAGTCCAACCCTGATGGACACACAGCTCTTTGGCTGTGTAACGTCCTACCCTTTTAGCATGGTATAAGAAAGGTTGCAAGGGTGTAAGGTTATTACTTTAAAGTCCTCCACAATTAGTAACAGACAAATAGCAGCAAGACAAGACCAGTTGCTTCTCAGGGTGTTTGAAGAGGGTTTTTTGCCTTACAAGAAACCCATGAAGAGAAAACAGCAAATGGAGATAAGCTGGAACTTCATTTTATGCAAAAGTTGGATTGAAGTGTTTTTGGGACACAAACCACACAAGCACACTACCAGTCTCAAAGCCTCAGCCCTCCGCCACCTCACCAGAAACGTGGCCCAGGCTCTGCTCAGCTCCGCTTCTTCCAGCTGGCCCTTGGCAACCTGCTTTCCTGCATTTGTAACCCCTCTCTCCCCAGCCTGTGTGTCGTAACACGCTGGTAACAATAACATTTCTGAAATCGAAATGCTTTGCAGGCCAAAAAGCTGAGCTCAATCAACGCAGGGGGAAAGCAAACCACAGAGAGCTATTGTTTCTGAAAACCATCCAAAAACTCTTGGCGCTTTAAGGCATTCCCAATGTCCTTTGCACTATTTCCAGGAAAAATGATTCCCAAGGCCTTGCATATTAAAAAAAAATCTGGCTTATATCAATAAACATGATAACCGCTGTATTTTTTCTCTTTAATCAGAGCACAGCTAGCATGTAGAAGCAATCAGAACTGAGTCGAATAGCCTGTTTTAAGTCTAGCATTTCAAAACTCTCAAATTCTCCGTTGAGGAGCATAAATTAACTCCTGGGACTCCTGAACCTGAGCATCATCTTTGACTACATTTATGTAATGCGAATTCTTGAAGAAAATTTGTGGGCAGATTTTGGTGGAATAAGTGGTAGAAAAGGCAGAAGGGCAGTTTTTCAGACCAAATAAACTTATTCCACTAGTCTGTGTTGTGGCAGAAGCACTGCCTGCACCAGTGGTTGGGTTGCAAGCCTAGAAACAGGATTGCTGGTTCAGATCTCAAATCCTAACATACTGACTTCCAACAAGACATTCAAAGCTCAGTGAGGTTGCAGGGGGAGGTTAAAGGATTTGGAGGAGATGAGGTGTCCAACTACCTTCCTTATCCCCTACTTGATAAAGAAAATCCAATTTGCAATTAAATGGTAAATGAAGTTAAACTCGAAGACTTATAATATGTGGCCCAGGACAGACAAAACTTCAGGCAATATCATGGGTAAGAACATTGAATCAGTAGCAAACCATTGGCAATCACCACTGAATTAGTCCCATATATTGTTTTTACTAGCTGTGCAATATTGTAAGAGTGTTGCACTTATAATCCAATACAACCAAGCAAGAATTTGCAGGCATCCCTTGTTCAGGATAATAGAATATATTATGTCTCATTTTAGCTATTCAGAGAGCTGAGAAGCCCTTCCATTCTCTGGATTATGAGCTGTTCTTGCAGTGTTACATAGCCAAAAAAAAAACGCACTTTGAATGTCTCTGTTCTTCCTATCCACAGGGTCTCAGGTGGGTGGCTTTGGAATGAAGAATTTATAAATGAAAACTTAGATGATCAGGTGTACTTTAAGATTTTACAGCTAAAGGAAAGTCTTTAGAATTTAGGAAAGGTGTGAAAAGATAAATGACCGTAATTTATATTTATCCACCCCTTGCTCCAAGAATCATATTTTTAAGAGATAAGGAAAAGTCTAGTATCCCTGTGAGAAGAGTGAGAAGCTTACGGCTTGTTCTCAGATTTCACACCACATGCTGTCTCTACCACAGTCCGACAACCTCATGGGAAGGCACTGTGCAATGAAATAGTCTTTCAGGTACCTTTCACAAAAACAGAGAAATGATGGGTTAGGGAATTTTGTTTGTTTTTTCAAACAAATGGTGCACTTTATGATGTTCTACCTCACATTTCTATCGCCTCTATACCTATTACATTTTCCAAACACTTAACCTTACTGCAATATTTAACATGGGTATTTTATTTTCAGAATGATTATGAAGCCCTTTACATGTCATGGAAAATTAAAGAACAAATATCTACTAAAAAACAAAGCAGTTTAATTCCCTTGTTTAGCCAAATATACCTCCAACCCTGTGATTTCACAAATATTATTAAAAATACACAGTTAATTTATTACTCAAGTTCAGGGCAAAGGGTTGTGTTGTGAGGTTAGGGGGTTTTGTTTGGGTTTTTTTTTGGGGGGGGGGGTTGGTTTTTTTTAATTCATAGCTTTGCAGCTGCTCTACTTCAAAAATTTCAGCCTCAGAAGTATGGGACTGAGTATTGGGAAAACCTCAGTTAGCTATGGAATATCTGTGCATGGGTAAGACAGTTTTCTTGTCGTAGCAGCTAATCCTAACATTGGTTACCCATGCTGGCATTGCTGGGTAATGGGATTCCCATGCTTGAGTGTTAATGCCTTTGGGACATCTCAGTTACTGGAGCCAAGAGAATAAACTCTTCTGTGTTACTGCTTTTCTAAACATAGTCCCCAATTCAGTCTTTTCGTAATTTGTCTACAACAAAGTTAGCACCGCCTTTATGAAGAAGAATGACATTAAGTTGTGAGGCCACTCTGAACCAATGCAGAGCTGAAGAGCTTCATCCCTTCAGGAAAGAAATACAGTACCTTTATAATTACTAGGAGAAACCTCAGTTAAGCTGAAAAGTAGACTTCACATGCATAATAAAGAGTAACAGTGACAAAACCTTGGATCTAATCTGATTTCTTTCCCTTCACTGCAGAGACCCCTGGAAAAGCCGGACGGCCTGGATGTTTCGGATCAGAGCAAAGAACATCCCCAGCATCTGTGTGAGAAGTGCAAAGTTTTGGGCTACTACTGCCGCCGTGTGCAATAAACCTTCGAAGTGGCCTCCTCCCGTCCCCATCGTCCTTAAAGATCCTCTGGCAGCATGCGATCAACAGCAACACAACAAATCAAGATAAAAGCTAAAATAATTGCCAATATTGCCTATCTAATAATATGCCTTACCATTAATAGAATGTAACATTTCTCCTGTGCATGCGCACGCATGCAACGGGTATTTACAGGACTACGATTTGTATACATACATATATATGTAAATTTATATATGTACACACACATATATAAAGCGTTACTGATAGTGTTCACAACAGAACCGCGGTTGCAGGTTCTACTGATTGTTTACACAGACCCTATGTCATGGCCAGGTGAAATGAAGTACTATTCAATAGGCAAGGTATAATATTCACAAGGAATATATGTTCTATGTATGGCTTTTGCAGAGGTTAAATAACTGTGGGGCCACTAGTTGCAAGCACTATCCCACAACATGAACGTTATTCCTATTATATGACAAGACAAAGGAAGATGAAACAAGCCACAGCATAAAAGAAGGCAAATTATTGTTTTCCCAGTTTTAGAAAGTCTGAGAATTTTGTGCTGCTGCTTTCTTGGACTTTCTCTATTTGTTACCATCGCTTGGGCAGGGCTTAGGCAAAATCATTTTTGTAGGATGTGGCAAAAAAAAGTGAATAATTGTTTGAGGGTGTGGGTTGGGTAGAAAGGGAATGCCATAATGGGACCCAGAGCATCAGGAAGGATTCCAAGAGGTTTTTAGAGGAGACAAAATTGGCTTGCTTGTGCAACTAACAGATCCTTCTCTTGTCATATAATCCCGCTGAAATGGTCCCTGTATGTGTATGGGCTGTTCATTAGGCAACAAGCACACTAAATTTACTGTGAATAAGGGGGGATAAGAATACTTAAAACTGCCCCCAAAACCCTTAATTGAAAGATTAGCCAAACTTACTATTTATAATAGTTTTAAAGCCACTTTCTGGAAATATTTTTATGTCCTGTTTTCTACTGTAAAAATTTGTTATATTATAAAACTTGCTAGCCATAAGGGTGTTATGAGGCATGGAGAACACTCTTTATAACCTTCCCTCTTTATGTCTTCCTGAAACACCTACATACCTTGAGGAGAAATGTAGGAGTTGTATTTTGTTGTCCCATTTCAGGTAGAACTTTGTGCAGGGGCATCCTGCTGCAAAGAAGTATCTCATCAGGGATTGGGAAATACCATGAACTGAAAGTACCTCGAGACAGCATCCTGTTTGTATGTCTACGTAAAAGTACATTGGCAAAAGGACACAACAGGCAATTCACTTGCATTATTCACTAAAAAAAAATTACAGGGATAATGTTTGTTTGGTTGTTGTTTTTTTTTTATCAACAACTTCTATTTTTATGAAGTTCCTTTAGAGAGATTGATTTGTGTGAATGATACTTAGTGGAAATACTTTCAATCCTAAATAACTTGATGTGAATTAAATTTGTTTTGAGGATTAATTCCATAAAGCTAAGACAGAGGGGGTTTTATGCCAAATTATAGCAGGATGTTACCAGTATGTACAGTCAAGCTCTTGTAAAGCAAATTGAAAACTTACAGTGAGCATTCATATAGGAAATGTGAAGCTCTTTACAAATTTGCTTTAGGGTGAAACTTTTGCCATTTCCCTGCTTCGCTATAAGCAGGGCAAAACTGTTTCTGCTTATTCTGGTGGTAGTGTCATGTACATATCTCGCCAACTTCATTATTTGTGGGTAGCCCAAGTGATCCAGCCTACAGGTTGGAGCAATGGATAAACATTGGGACTCCTGGCTTCTGACCACAGCTCTTCCATTAGCTCCCTGATTTTGGGCAAGTCACAAGATCCTTCTGGACCTCAGTTTCCCCAACTGCAAAAGGGGGGTAATAATACTTTAGTATACCTACCTCACAGGAGAGTTGTGAGGCTTACTTAATAAGTGTTTTGACATCAGTGAATGAAAAGTGCTATGTAATGCTAAAATACTATTAACTAAATTAATCACTTCAAAACCAGTTTTGGCCAGTTGGCAATTCCATCAACTAAAATAGCTGAAAATAATATTATTGAAAGTTAACACTAATAACAGTTCAGTTACCTCAGTGAAGATATGCAGTTTTAGCATTTTGAGATGGAAATACATTCTTTTGCACAGACTCAAAAATTACCTTAGAGACAAATTGTCTAATCAAAGATACTAATCTGACCATAAAAATAAGAATAAGAAAATACACAGGCAAATCTGGGGGTGGATTTTCAAAGCTTGACCTTTAGTTTTAATCTCGACAGTTTGTTTCAAGCACGAGTAATTTTCAAAGAGCTGCATACTAAACCAGATCTATCTTTTCCTCTTGAGCACTCAATAGTACATGAACAAAAAAAATCACCTTGATGCTTCACATCCAGCTAAAGGACATGTAGAGAAACCCCCTTAGATGAAGATAAAGGAAAATGTTATTTTCTTTTCTCCCTGAAACTAAGATGTTGCTATCAACCATTTTTTTCTGTGTTGAAATAATTTCCATCTTATGATAACCACTAGATCAGTAAAATAGCACATCCCTTGATACAGCTACATCAATATACAGCACACCACCAGGTTCTCAACAAAGACCAACTAAAAGATACCATTATATGCAATTGTTGCTATTTCCATGACAGTGCCCTGTTAAAAATTGTTTATCCAGATTCAACATTGCATGGCAATGCCTTTAGCTTATGGATTTTTAGGTTGTACTGTAAAATAAGGTTCCTAAAAATACACGTGATCGACTTTAAAACAATTAATGTCTCTAGGTGTAGAATAATAACTCTTAAAAGCATACTTATGAGAGTTCAATATTTATAACATTGATATTTTCCTAGGCAGCAGACATATAAAGTATTTAAGTAATATTTAGCATATTTGAAATAACGAGGAGGAGAACAGATTTTCCCCTTCACTTATGTAGGGGAAAAGCAGATAAAGAATAAAATGCACAGGAAAGCAAGAAATGACACTGCGGTAGTTTGTACTGCCTAACTCATAGACCGCAAATCCCGGTGCAGGGTGCGGATGCGATCAGGCCCTGGGCACCCCAGGGCTGGAAGCAGCCTGCTTGCCTTGCCATCCCTGCCAAAAGCGGGGTGGGGAGGGAGAGTGACTGGGGGTCCCTGGGGAGCGGCCACAACCCTCCCTCCCCTGCAGCCGTGGGGCTGAACTCCGGCTTCTGCCCAGCCGTGTGAGGACATCCCCTTGTTTTCTGTCCTCGCTGCACAGGGCTGAAACCTCATCTCCGAATGAGCTGGTGCCTGGGGAAGGCGGCAGCGCCAAGCTCACGCGAGGGGAGCATTCCCCTGTCCCTCCCTGCAGGATTGCTCGTAGGATTGTAGCATTCAGCTCTGGGCATTTGGTCCACGCTTGTCTGTATATAGTCTGTGGGTTGCTGGAAAAACACATCTATCTGCATAAGTAAGGTACAATAGCTTATGACCATTGGCTTTTAGTTAATGGCACAGAAGGGAAATTTCTTAATTTTTATTTCAAAAAAGGAAAAAAAACCCCATTGATTACAAAATGTAAGTTTCTTCTCTCTCCCGCCTCCCCCACGCCCCCAAGTTAATTCACCTATGGACCTCACTAACTCTTTCCAAATTGGAAAAACCTTAAAAATTCAGATTTTTGACTGGAAAGAGGATGAGTTGATTTACGTCTTCGATTTTTCTGAATGCTTTCTGATGTTCTCTTTAATCAGCTCTGCATTTAGAACATCAGCTAGTAATCCTTGAAGGCATTTTTAGACAGTCTGACCAGAAGCGAAGCAAGCATCAGTAAAAGGAGTTTTAAATCAATACAGGCCTTCTTAAAGTTAGGGGTGTACCTGAGAGAAATTTAGCTCTGTGCATTTATTTGGCAAACTGGATTTTTAACCTCGGATGCTTGCTGTTGCCTGCCTACCAAACCATCCAGCACACACTTTTTTTTTTTCCCCCTCTTTTGGAGATTTTTAAACTTTCATTTATTTCTTAAAAAAAACTAAACACAATTTGTTTCCTCAGTCGGTCAGAACATTTCACACGGAATTTGTCCTTGGCATTGGCACTGCTCTGGAGAAAAGTATCAGTGATTTGAAATGCACGGTGTAGGTTTTTTAGCTGCTTTAACTTGATACGGCTCAAATGAAGTTGTTACAAATGCTTCATTTAATGGTGATGAAGAAAAATACCTGTAGTTTAAAGGATGGCCCCATTTTAGCCAGTTTCTACTGCTGCTACCACAGACATAAAATGATGCCACACAAGCAAAGTTTGAGGCCTTTTTGTCTCAAAGTTGCTTTTTAATTTCCGATAAATACACAAGAGTATATATTTCTGAAAATAGGTGTATTTTGAAGTTCCCCATTATATGGGACTTAGTTTGTAAACTAAAAATGTGAAGTTATGTATGTCTGAGAGAAGCCTTATACCAAGAAGTATTCTCTACATTTTACCTTTTTCTGTAACGTGAAATTTAGATTATACATAGGTTGCATACCTGTGACACTCTAGCAGTTATTCCAAAAATAAAACTACTTAAAACATTAAAGTTAAGAGCTTTTGGAAATGTCAGACTTCATAGATTAGTTCTCTTTGTCCTGCAGTCACGTAGAATATTTTTTTCCTAGTACGGATCCTAAGAGTTGCCCACTGAACAGTATAAAACAAATCATCAACATGTGTTTTTCAGGTTAAGTGAATTTACATACACTTTCCACTTGCCTTTGCCAACATAGTTTAAAATGTGATGGAACTATCCCCATACAAAAATCATTCTTTAAGATATCACTCCACTCCCGATCAGGCTTCAACCCCTGTCTCTTTCCTATCTGCAAAACCACTGCTGTCCATTCAGTTTGCTATATTGCTGACGTGCTCAGAGGGCTGTTTGAGATCTTAGACATAGGGATGATGGTTTGTGTTTCTAGGATGAATTTCAAAGGGACAATCGTGTGCAGTTACTAGCTATAGATGATTGATATAAATGTTTACCCCTGTATGAAGTATTTTACAGTTTTACTTGCAGATGTGTATTTATCTTGAGTTATACTTGACATAGAGTTTCTTTCAATTTTTTTTAATACTATGTGTGTATTTTGGAAACCTTTTTAGATGTTAAAATTTTTGAATGGTTACAAATATTTCTTGTAATACTGAATTGTTATCTTATCTGGAAACTCTTTGCAGTAACTTTTTTGTATATATTTGAGGGCCTTTTTAAAAAAGTATTGTTTGTTTTCTGGGGAAAAGTTTTTACAATTTGGAAGCTTTCAGAAGGGCCTTCCTCTCAGCTAGGATACTAACAGAGGTAAGAGTTTTCTTAAGTATTTTGCAGAGCTAGGGATGTATCCTCAAGAAAATATTTATGGAAGTAATTTACTTTTTTTTTTTTACAATGCTTTTGTCTGTATAAAGTATGCAACAGAACTACATTAAGAAGGAAATATTGTCTACATAAAATATTATATGGAAGTTGGTACATAATTCTGACAAAAAACCTTGCAATTCTTTAAGCCATATTGTTT